GATACTAACTGTTGTCTTCAAAAATAGGTCCAGAGGAGATCTCTTTGCTGATTTTAAAGTTTATTGTATTTCGATATTTATTTTTGATTTATTGTTTAAATAGAGTTTGCACAAACATCGCTGAATATTAGTAACAGCCAGACTGTGTCATGGGAACTTCAATATATTGCCTGACTGCGGAAATGCGCCTGCACCAATTTGAAGAAATTGCTAGGATTAGCTGCATAAGACCAGAGCGTGGTGCATTTACATAGACCACATCTTGTTAATCGATAATAGGAAAAATGAAAAGTTAATAACAGTTAAAATATCGGTCTTCCTTTCACTTTCAGGATGGTCCGTTTCTGGCGTCATTCTTTTCAGAAAGTTACTGGTTTAACGTTGATTTCCCTTTCCATGTCATCAGCCACTAGTGCTTTTTATGGCATAGTCTACACCTGTGTGATAAGCATAGCGCTTAGTCTCCTGGTTCTATTCCCACATAGTGGTACTCGTTTGTCGCCACTGGGAAGAAGAAAGGCCAGTGACTTTACCGAGACTCGAGCCCTGGAAATTCGGTTCTGAGTCCAGCGTTCATCCAATGGAACAGCTTCGATCTGCTGGGGGAATATAGTCGCATAGACAGAACCTTCTCAATTAATTTAAGTAATACTTCAACTTCTGCGTGAGAACATTCAGTTTATGTGCGAATTCCATGTATTGCAGTGCAAGTAAACGGATTGTGAAGAACAAGGTATTTTCCTGCTGGCCGCTACATCAGTTTCGACTGCCATATCCTTGAATCATTTAAACTGGGATTAATTCAAGCTCTCTATTTATGAAATGTATCACTATTTATTAATTCTAACAGCAGAACAATATGCCAAGCTGAAAAATGAAGTTCCATTCTGATTTTATTTAAGCAGTGAACTTTCAAACTAATCACCTAACTGCAACAAAGCAAATATACCAGAGAATTTTCATTCAGAAGCAGTTATGTAACAAAATTGACTGGAAGGAGAAGAAAAGCAATGATCTACTAGACATAATACAATGTGTATACCGCAAAATCGAGGCCATATTGATGAATCCATACTGAATGAATCTAAATGAAAGAATTAAATGATTTGTGACTAAATTAGGATGAAAACTTTATGCAAATTTTCTCTCAAACTAGATGCATCATACGCAACATAATGTATTTGGCAAGATCTGAAGATAGCTTGAATTGTAGATTACGACCGAAGTGCACTTGTGGAATTTGATCTGCATTAGGGAAACTCTGAGAGGGCTCAGGCATTAGGTACATAAACGTGGCTCATTTCACTACAACGAAAGAAGATAGCTTTGCCAAATCAGAGCGCGGCGTACCCAAGTATCAACCCATTCAGTTGAGTTCGAGCAGGACAGTCGGAAGACCAACCGGAAAAATTTCTATCCTTTAAGTTATTCCAACAGAACGAACACTCAACAAGATGAACAGACAAAAGAAACTGCGATATTAGTCCATGGTACCCAATTACTTCCAAATCAGCGCTTACATCTCTAAACTGTTGTTGCACTCCATAAAATTTCATTTCAGTTATCCACGTTTTGAATATTACCGTAGCGTTACCATCGTTAGACTTTCTCCCAGTCCTTGTTATGTACCAAGTACCAATTGAAGTTGAATCCAAACGGGGTAACTGCACCAGGAAAGGCCTTCATGACAGAAAATTTTTATGCCTCCATGAAATGCATGGTCATTATGAATTTTGATCCAAATTGAGTAGTGGTCTTTGAGCCCTGTTTTGTTCTGAGCTATTTAAACAATAAAAGAAAAATATCCGTCT